ACATCCATTTAAACATCTGTCTTTAAGATCCCGACGCTGGCATCAATAGTAAATTAACCTACAGTCTAGTAGCTGGTGATAYACAATACTTCACCRTCGACCCTGGCACTGGAGTAATTCGTACCAGGAAAGTTCTCGATCGTGAATTGAAGTCATCATATCGATTAACGCTTCGTGCTGTAGATGGTGGCGGYCTTAAAGGAGAAACATCAGTTACTGTCAATGTGTTGGACACTAACGACAATCCTCCAGTATTTAAAGCAAAGTCGTATACTGAGAATCCTCGAGAAGACGTAAAGAGAGGGAGCGTTATCGCTAGCGTRGGCGCTACRGATTCCGATACAGGTATGTTGGGCTGACTATCTTTTTTATAAGGCTTACGTAGAAACATCTTCATGAATCGCCATTATTCCAAATTAAAGGCCTATGTATTTCAAGAGCATTTGCGCGATTTTCTCACACTCAAAAAKGAGACATCTTTGATTTTTAACAAATCAGAAACACCTTTCATTTCTTTGCATTCAATGCTCGTGGGCCTTTAAGAATAGARAAGTTTTATTCAGTTTTGTGAGATCATTTTATTTGTCGTTGTGTCTCAGGAATTAACGCAGAACTCAGATACAACATCCTAAGTGGGAACGTTGACAATACTTTTGGCATTGATTCCAAGACTGGAGTTGTTACATTACTATCATCACTAGACTACGAGAGAAGGTAAGTTTGATTCAAGAATATTGCTTTGAGYTACCTCTTTAAATTCTTTATCTCCATTTAAACTGTCTATAATCTCTAACATTTTAGTACACTAAGATTCATTGTATTGTATCTGATCTTTTTTCAGGAGATCATATGTACTAACCCTCWTGGTATCGGACCGAGGCTCTCCAGCTCTCTCAAACACAGCAACTCTGAATGTGAACGTGGTTGATGTCAATGACAATGCTCCAGTATTYCAGTCCAGGTCATACCAAGCTACTATAAAGGAGAACTCGATTAAAGGGACTAATGTGGTGAAAGTACGTAAAAACTAATCTCAGAGTTGATTATAGTAAAAGACTGCAGTGTTTGGATACCGTAAAAGAGCTACTTTTAGTTGTCGGTACGTTTTGATATCAATTCTTTGACTAACTGGAATCATTCATTATGGCAGGTGTCTGCTGTTGATCGCGATACTGGTACGAATGCAAAGATACAGTACTTCATCACCCTTGGCAACAGTGGAAGCACTTTTCAAATCAATCAAAATACAGGTGAATATGGAATAGTAGCTTAGAATAGCCCCGATATGCAAAGATCTGTAACAAATCTAAAGATGGATTTTCTTTTTTGCTTACACGACTACTCCCAGTTGGTTTTCTTGGTTGTTTTTTTATAATATTTCTTTTGTAATTATCATTTCTTCTCATTTGTCAAGGTTTGATTTTAATCAACAATCCGCCAAGCTTCAAAACCAAGAGCCGATATGATCTAACAATAGAAGCCCGCAATCAAGGTCAACCAATCAAAAAGGATTCAGTACATGCAATTATTACTATCGAAGATGTAAATGACAACAAACCTGTGTTTAGTGCCAATACCTACACAACTCRAATCAGAGAAGACGCAGCGAAGGGCATGACGGTCATTACAGTAACCGCTAAGGATGATGACACCGGCCCTCTTGGTCGAGTATTGTACAGCATTGTGTCCGGAAATACTGGAAACAAGTTTACTATTGATGGAAATAAAGGTAATGCCTGGCTGTTATTGCTCAATTCGAAATCAAAATAGCTAATATTATTGACAATATCATGTTTCAGGAACAATAAAGGTTCTCTCCTCTCTTGACCGAGAGACCACACCGTCGTTTGCACTGACCATCGAAGCGAAAGACGGAGGTTTTCCACCATTAAGTACAAGRTGTCGAGTCAACGTTGCAATTATTGACGTCAACGATAACACTCCAGTGTTTAACGGCCCGTACRCATTCCATGTCGCTGAAAATAAACTCGTAGGGGGACTAGTAGGTCAGGTTCAAGCTGTCGACCGAGACTCCGGTAACAACGGCAAGGTTTCATATTTAGGAACAACGGAAACTTTTAAAGTAGATCCCATCACCGGCAAAATTACCATTTTAAAAGAATTGGACCACGAAAATCAGTCTATGTATTCACTAACTGTTATCGCAAAGGACCATGGATCAACGCCAAGACAGACGAGCATTGTCGTCAAGGTGATTGTTGATGACGTCAATGACAATCCGCCAAAGTTTCCCTATGGTATGTATAATTGCAGTGTAGCGGAGAACATGGCGAAGGGGGCTGGTGTTTGTTACGTCACTGCTGTTGATCCTGACTCAGGGTCGAATGGAAAGTTGTATTACACATTAAGTGGTGGGAGCGGCAAATTCACTATTAACACGGTAAGTAAAGACTTCGATTTTGAAGGATACTGTCTTAGAAAAAGAGTGAGAATAGCCATTTTAAGAAAAATGTGCTTCCAAAAAGTCTAAAGATTTTTAACGATATTATTTATTATTGATCGTTTTCAACCATTTCCATGAAATTCAAAAAATAAAAAGCGCAGCCATGTTGAGGGAATGATCAATAGATATKAATGAGAACTCTTTTGTTGAAGTTCCTWCAAGATGGCCTCTGTGATGTAACTTGAAAACGAAGAATTATTATTATTTTTTTAGTTCCATAATTACTTCTAAGTGGTCAGGTCATACTGTAAAATTCATTTTGAAMATTCATTTTATTATCCAGGCTACAGCAGAAATAACCACAACAMAACCACTTGACAGAGAAGCAACTGGGTCCTACCACCTAGTGGTGACAGCAAAAGATGGACAAACGCGTAGACTCAAGCGGTCAGCTGGGCCACCGTTTAGCGACTCAGTCGATGTTTACGTGACCATTGATGACGAAAATGACAACGCTCCAACGTTCGATGGTGCGCCTTTCAAGTTCAATATTATCGAGACGGCCCTMCGAGGTGCATTTGTCGGTAAGGTGTTGGCAAGTGATGCTGATACTGGTATCAATGGAAAACTGTCGTTTACTATCGCCAGTGGGAACACGGCCTCAGGGTGAGACATTCATTTAATGCTGTACGACCATTTTACAGTCAGAAGTCATTTTAAATCAAGCAAAGGATAAGAAATCATTACCACAACTAAAAAAGGACAGTGTAGGGTAGTCGTCACCATTCCTTTTGTTTTTATCCTTTTCCTTTCAAAATTAATTAAGCAGATCAGAGAAATTTACGAATTTATGAATGTGCTTCACTAGATGATTTTTACCTCTACAAAGAATGTTTTATTTGTTTTTTTGTTTTTATCCTTTTCCTTTCAAAATTAAGCAGATCAGAGAAATTTACGAATTTATGAATGTGCTTCACTAGATGATTTTTACCTCTACAAAGAGTGTTTTATTTGTGTGCATGTTTTCATCAGACAAATGAATATAGTGAACACTAGAAGTATTCGAAACTCATTCTGAAATGTTTATGCATGTTCCTTTTTTTATTATAATGCATTTCCCTGATAATGTACTAAGTACCGATATTCATTTTTTCTAGGTTTTCTATTGATTCGCAAAGCGGCGTGATCTCAGTTAACAGTGCTCTTGATCGAGAAACAACGGCCAGCTATTCTCTTACGATTCAAGCAAGGGATTCTGGGAAACCTCCACAATCGRCCCAAACCGTTGYAGTAATAACGGTAGATGACGTCAATGACAACTCACCAGTATTTGACAGGAAAATGTTTTACGGTAAAATTCGRGAAGATGCCTCGATTGGATCTTCAGTTCTACAGGTCAGTACCTTTTCCTCAAAGTACATGCGCATATTCCTATTCAATGACTATGCACAAAGAATGGCGTCTCCCATGGGACATAAATATATAAAAATTACAATAAAAATATATAAAAATTACAATAAGCTATTGTTTGCGCGTAGTCTTTAAACCAGAATCGAATCTTGACAGTCTGGGATTTCATACGTCACACTATCTTTAATAGCTACTTTGATGAAAAATGGCGAAACACTGGAAAAGACACGAAGTTCTTGTAGACTTATCAATAAGGGTCCTATAATTACAAAGCAACGTATTTTGGCAAAGATATTAATACAATATCTTAGGAATTTTGTCATATACTCCATCCTTTTGTTCTTTCTTCGTTTGAGGCAAACTTTTCTCTACTTTTGGTTGACTCCGTAGCAAAACGTTTTTCTGAGAAGGTATAATAGGTATAAATGAGTCATATTTGAATTACGCAGCGTTTGAAATTGGTGCTTCTTTGTGCATGTAGCACGTTAAATTTTGTAAGGACTTCTTTCTTTCTGGGGAGAAGTCGAGTATTAGGAAATCTATCAATAATTAAGCAATCGATCTCCACTTTTAATCGATAATTGATCAATATAATTAAAACTGTTCATCTATTCATAGGTAATAGCCTCTGATAAAGATACTGGCTCCAATGGTAGACTAACCTATCGTCTTAGTGGACGTGGAAGCGCTAACTTCACTATCGATTCAACGGGTTTCATTAAGTCTGCGACATCATTAGACTACGAAAAAACAAGCTCCTACATCATGACTGTCACAGCTAGTGATTCTGGAAAACCTTCTAAAAGCGCTACTGCGCAAGTCAACATAACCATCATCAACGTCAACGATAATGTCCCATCCTTTGAATCACAGGCTCAAGTTACTTATGTTAACGAAGACGTTGCCATAGGAACGCGTGTTGTGAAGCTAAATGCCACTGAYTCTGACGGCAACCTCCTTACGTTTTCCATCACAGCCGGAAATACTGACAGCTCCTTCGTGATTGGTGGAGCTGATGGTGTCATTAGTGTTGCTAAGCGACTAGATCGTGAAACGACTGCTAATTATACATTGACAGTAGAGGCAAAGGATGAAGATGGCAAGTCAGTGTCGAACAATGCAACGATACGAGTCATGGATGTGAATGATAATAAACCTATATTCACCAAATCCCCTTACTCGGCCAGAATCACTGAAAACCGACCAGCAGGTAAAAACACAACGACCACGAAAACACATATATGTACAAACAACTCAATGATAAGCAGAGACAACAGTATTTGATGGATTTTCGATGTGTTCACGTGAGAAAAGAGAGAAAATTATTTGAAAATACCCATAATGCACCTGATATAATGATAT